ACACTGACACTTTCAGTCTAGTTGTCAAAGCTACCACTGTTCGTGTTGTGCTTTCTATTGCAGTCACAGATAAATGGCCTCTTCGACAACTTGATGTCAAGAATGCTTTTCTCAATGGAACTCTTATTGAACGTGTTCATATGGAATAACCTCCTGGGTATATTGATCCTCGATTTCCCACTCATGTTTGTCTATTAAAGAAAGCCCTCTATGGCTTAAAGCAAGCTCCTCGTGCTTGGTTTCAGCGTTTTAGCTCATTTCTTCTCACACTTGGGTTTTCTTGCAGTCGCGCTGTCACGTCCCCTTTTGTCTTTCATCAGCAATCTAACCTTATCTATTTGCTTCTTTATGTTGATGACATTATTGTTACCGGCAACAACTCATCTCTTATTGACAGCTTTACTCGCAAGCTTCATTCTGAGTTTGCTACCAAAGATTTGGGTTGTCTCAGTTACTTTCTTGGTCTTGAAGCTTCACCCACTCCTGATGGTCTCTTTATTAGTTAGTTAAAATATGCTCGAGATATTCTTACTCGTGCTCAGTTGCTCGATAGCAAACCAGTTCACACTTCCATGGTTGTTTCTCAACACCTGACTGCTGATGGTCCTCCTTTCTCTGATCCTACTCTCTACAGATCTCTTGTTGGCGACCTTCAGTACTTGACTATTACGCGTCCAGATATTGTCTATGCTGTTAATTCTGTCAGTCAATTCTTGCATGCCCCTACTGCAGATCACTTTCTTGCTGTCAAACGTATTCTTTGCTATGTCAAAGGAACACTCCACTTTGGTCTTACCTTTCGTCCATCCACTATTCCTAGTACGCTAGTCGCTTATTCGGATGCTGACTGGGCTGGTTGTCCCGATACTTGTCGTTCTACATCCGGCTATTCTATTTATCTTGGTAACAATCTCGTTCTTGGAGTGCCAAAAAGCAACCTACTGTCTCACGCTCCAGCTGTGAATCTAAGTATCGTGCTCTTGCCACAACTACTGTTGAACTTCTTTGGGTTACGCATCTTTTGCGTGACCTCAAGATCCCTATTTCACAGCAGCCCTTACTCTTATGTGACAACAAAAGTGCTATTTTTTTTAGCTCTAATCTCGTTTCTCACAAGCGGGCCAAACATGTTGAACTAGATTATCATTTCCTTCGAGAACTTGTTATCGCTGGCAAACTTCGCACACAATATGTACCCTCTCATCTCCAAGTTGCTGACATCTTCACAAAGAGTATTTCTCGACTCTCTCTTTGAATTTTTTAGATCCAAGCTTCACGTTCGTTCAAATCCGACGCTCAGCTTGCGGGGGGTGTTAAGGATAGTTGACCGTTCATTATAAGGCAAATATCTATATTTGCCTTACATTACGGGTTACCATATTTGCCCTTTTATTAAAGGCAAATATATTGTATTTATTTATTATTCTTTTCTTTTATCGCTATTTCCATATTATTTGTAATTTACCATATTTCTGTATTCTGTAAATGATTATAAATAAGAGAACTCTCACCCCCATTTAGGTGTGGTGGATTCAGCAAACATTCACAAAGATGAACGATCATTATAGTTTTTCGATGAACATAATCGACAAAGGCAACTGAAACCCCACCTCTAGTTTTAAAATCGCCTTTAATCTCCCCTTGTTATACAAAAGATATCTCCATCAGTTGGAGAAGGAAGCAAAGAGAAAAGAATCGACCTAAGGAGATCATATTCATGGGGGAAAATTTTTCAGCGAGCGTCGGGTGTTTTGGTACACCGAAACGAAATACAATGGTAGTCACATCTATTGCTTCTTGAAGTCGTGGGAGAGGGAGGAAAGACAAGAAAAAGGAAGAAGGAATCAAAAGTCAACGACCATAAGCTCTTGAGAAGAGAGAGAAAAGTTTCAGAAAATTCAAATACACTGAGTTTGGTCAAATTTTGGTAAACTATGATTACAACCGGTCGTTTGAGCTTGAATTATGACAAACCCAAGCCTTGGCCAGTAGCAACCAACAAAGCCCCGAAGCCCACTTGTAATGCTTGGCCCACCTACAACATCGATCACTCCGCCAACTGAAACTATTCAGCCGAACCGAGCCTAGTACCAACCACAACCTGCACACAAAAGGAACCACCTGAGAGAACGACCCGAACTTTGTGCCTTGACCCGTTTACGACCCATGCACATGTCTTCTCCCCAAAGCGACATGTGTCATGTATGCATACATTGACGCCTTTAGCTCAGTTCTCTCAACACGGCTCAGCTCGACTAGGTGCAGCTTCTCGGCTCAAAACTCGGTCATTCGACTCCGTATTGATATTTGGATACGGATTTCTATAATTTTTTTTACCCTCCCAAAGCTGAATTTGACCTTAATTAATGCAATTAAGGTCAGTATAGCATCTTATTTCCATGTTCAAGTTTATTTACGTTAGAAATGTGAGTTATTAATGAAAAATTATTTATCGACCCTAAATTTCTACTTACTCAAAGTCGCTACTAACGTCTTATGATCAACTCATATGTGAAATATAACAATTACATCTTTAAAAACATGTTATGGTGTTACTGGTCAACACATAATACTGGAAAATGCAAATAAAACAAATAAGAAATAATTTAAAACATATAAAATGCGAGACAATCTATTCTAACCTAAATCTAGAAAATTAAATATGCTTCTATCTTATGCACGTGCTATGACCTCTACTCGCGATGTCATCGTCATCTGTAAAGGGACCTATCTCTATTTCATACTATGGGTGGCCTCTAGTCTGGATTAACTACGAATGTGTAGTACATCCCTATATATGATCCACACATGTGAGTGTGAATCTCCAGGTAGTTCACACCCCCTTAAACCCATCATTGTCTAACTACGAATGTGTAGTACAACCCTATATACGATCCACACATGTGAGTGTGAATCTCCAAGCAGTTCACCCCCCCTCCCAAGCCCATCATTGTCTAACTACGGATGTGTAGTACATCCCTATATATGACCCACACATGCGAATGTGAATCTCTAGACAGTTCACACCCCCTAGACCAATCATTGTCGAGCTAGTTGTGCGTAACGATGTTCTGAGGTCAACAGACCCCAGGGTATAATGCTCAACATGATCACCGTCATCATCGTACTATGTTTGTCCACACTCATCATCATAAAGGAGAAGTATCCTGATGTTTGTCCCTCTAGTTTTCATCTTAAACATCTTTCTTACACAACCCGAGTTTCATCAGTATATTACATTTAGTAATACATGCTCATTAAATATTTATGTTAATATCGTTACTCATGCTCTTAGAGTTGTATCCTAAGTCGATTTCCCGACATGATGCAACATTGAATTCATCATCATAAAACATACTTAATATGGAAAACATCATGGTACTAAGGTTAACGTCATGCAAAACACCACAGTCATCATAATTCCATTAAATTCATCAAGCACATCAAGTATGTCATACATCAACATCTAACGCAAGTACATCATCATACATCATTACATAATTCGAGTACAGAATCATACGTCACAACTAATACGTCATACATCATTTAATTCACATACTTCACCATACGTCATCATAAATCATCATACATCGTCATACATCATAAAATATTTCTAGCTTATCCTATAGTAAGGCCAATTAATTGGTTGGTCTTAGCCAACATTCTCCCTTATTATTATACGTTAGCACTCGTTCCTCTAAAGCTTTTCCAAATGTCATTAGGGTTCATTTTCTATTACACCGTTCGTCACCTTTCGTTAGTATTTATCAATCCAACTAACACATGAAATACGTCACTAAAACGGCGTTAATTACCTTAACCGGGGCTGAAAATAGGTTCGAGAGGGTTGCAATAGTAAAAATAGGGTACCCAAGCCAAATAAGTCGAAAAGCCATCGGGAGCAGCAGAGCGAGCCACGTCACGCAGTAGCGTCGGATCGAAGCGCGGGTCGCAGTCCAGTTCGGGTCGTGGTCCGGGTCACGGGCTGCGGAGGCTACTGGGCCAAGACTACAGTTGGGCCTCGGCTTATTGGCTGGACCGAAAGTTTTTTTTTTTGGGTTGCAGGCCGGCTCGATTAGACCGTGGGTCTGGTCTCGAGTTGGTTCAACTGAACCGTAACTTCTGGGCTGGTCTGAGGTTTGGGCCGCTGTAGTTTGGCTGGGCCGAAGACAGAGGCTGAGGAAAGAATGGGCTGACCCTCTCAGGTTCTGGGTTCGGGTTCACCCGGATCCGTGGGTCTCGTCTTCCGTACCCGACTTCGGCCGATTTTCTGGCGAGCTTTCTCTCTCTCCTTCCCGCGGCGTTTTCGGTGCCGATTTCGGTCCTCTCTCTTCCTCTTCCACTTTATTTGTCGTCCTTCTTTCTTTTTTGGAAGTCTTGCGGCCTAAAGGTTCCTAAAATCATAGATCTATGAACGATTAGGGAAAACCCAATTTTTTGACCTCGATTACCGACGACGGCGTTTACGAAGAAGCACATAACACACCTTGAATTATCGTGCTTTCGTTAGGGACCCTTCTCGTGGTGGTAACAGGTCGTTTGGTGTCGGTTTGAGGGTTCGTCGGAGAAACTGGACATTCGCCGATTTTTTTTTCGAAATCTCTCTCTCTCGTAGTTTCTGTCTTTTCTCTCTTTGCAGGTATCCTGATGGTGCTGGGTGTCGTGGGCCGAGGGCAGGGCATGTTGTGGCCGTCGTTTTGCGTGGGTTTCGCGAAACTCGGCGGTCGCCGGAAAACTCGCTGGTTTTCCGGCGATTGAGTTTTTGTTTTTTTTTTGTTTTTTTTCCTCGTTTTCTCGTTTTCCTTTTTATTTATATATTTATTTATTATTGTATATATTTTTTTTTCTTTCTTTCTCGGGTCGTTACACACGGCCAAAAATCGCATTAGAAAACAAAATCGAGAAACCGTCCTCCTTCGGTAAGAAACTGAATTTTTCTCGGTTTTCAACTTGATTTATTAAGCGTTGTGAGTATCAAAAAAATGCAATAAAATATATCTGGATAGGTGGACTTCGAGATCTTGAATTCTTGTGAAGGAATCGATTTAATTCAAGTTACGGTTTGGGAGATAGAAAAATCCAAAATAAATAAGTTGATATAGAATTTGACCAGAATCTAGAAAATCGCAGAAATGAGAGGACGAAGACAAACGTCGGATGGACGCGTGTTAGGAAGGGAGAGAGCCGCGAGTCACCGAGAAAATTGGACACGTGTCAGGCATGGAATGGCAGAGGAAAATCACGAAAAATACTGCGTAAGGTGTGGTTTGAAGATCGGCACCCGCTATCAGACCCGTGAACCCGCGTGCGACCCGAACCATCCCGATTCGAACGCACGCCGTGACTCTCAGTGGAACAGTAATCCCTCGCCACGTGGCGACAAACCAGCGCACGACTCCATCCCTCCGCGCGTCCGTACGCGCGCGTGTCTGTGCGTGTGGGGCGCGTGAACCAACGCGTGAGATCTATTTTTTATCCATATTGGACTTCCGTTCGACTATTTTCATCCGGGTTTTGATATTGATCTGAGTCTAACTTGACTTAAGACGTGTCAGCAAACATTCAAGAGTTTTAGAGCTCTTAGTTAGCCGTAGAGTAAGCTTCGAAGGGCATGCTTCATTCGGTAAGTAACCGCACGAATTTAGGAAGTAATACGTGTAAGGTGCACTTGGTTTTGCATGCATGCTAAAGCAAATTATCCCTAGGTGGCTAAATCTAATGATTCTCTATACTTATAAAGTTAAATATATATCTATTGGACTTACTGCCTTTATGAGATTTCGTACTCAATGTTTATATGCTTGCTGGACTATCTTTCTACTGCTTTTATCTATTCATACTATGTTGGTGGACTGGAGGATTTGTGTATCTGCGCTACGGGAGTTGATGGAAGATATCTCCCCGTTGAGCTTGTATGGTTGTATGTGTTGTTAATAATACATAAACTTCTGTTGAATGATTGTGTGAACTTAAGATATGATTGATAAGTTGTAGTGTTGTGATATGCCTAGGGTGAACTCTTGCAGGGATTGAGTTGGGTTTAGTTAGGGGACCCTCCTGATGTTACAGTCTATGGTGTCGTGAGCGACGCTTAGAGGGAGAGACCCTTTAACCCTGGATTGTTATGGACTTGAAAGTCTTGATTGAATGAATATGGAAGCCAGGTCCTCTAACTCAATAGTTTTAACTACCCTTGAGATATAGAGAACCACATTAGGCCCCCGAAGTGTAGAGAGATAACTTCTTAGTTGACAGTATCTGGTATAGCGTTCGAGTATGCTCCGCTTCCCTTCCTACTCCGGTGTGGTACAGTTGAGCTAGGCGAGACGCCAGTTAGGGAGATGTTACCCTCCCCTTCCTACTCCAGTGTGTTACTATTAAGCTAGGCGAGACGCCAATTAGGGAGATGTTACTCTTCCCTTCCTACTTCTGTGTGGTACCGTTGAGCTAGGCGAGACGTCAATTAGGGAGGTATTACTCTTCCCTTCCTACTCCGGTGTGGTACTGTTGAGCTTGGCAAGACGCCTGTTAGGGAAGTGTTACTCAGTGGTAGATCGACTACTCTGCATGGGGATCCATCTCATGGTAAGATGTTGATCACGCGAGTGGGTCAAGGTCGCTTGCATGATGGGTCCGTCGTGTGGAAGGATGTTGACCATGCAGTGACTAATTCTAGCTGGGTTGTACGAGTGATACAGGTAGATATGAGGGAGCACCTCATCCTTAAACGTTGAATACCACTTTAAAAGTTAAGTCCTTCCGCCCTGAACTATGTACTGAGAGTACTGAGACTCTAGGGTCTAGAGTATAGTTGGTGGTTCTCTCCTTAACTTGGATGCGTTTAAGAGCCTACAAGTAGGTTGCTTACTGAGTATATTTTTATACTCACCCCGTTTCCCCTTCTTTTTCTCAGGTACCAGTTGAGGTGGGGAGGTGTTCAAGAGCTGCACTATCACATAGAGGTGTCGTTCCGGAGCGTCAGTCCCTTGTCGGTCTTTTAGAATCTTTTGTATTTTTCTTTCATAATTGTATTTCCCCTTGTAATATTTGACTTTAATTTTGTATTTAATTTTGGTGTCGTTGACTCATTTTTCTTGATTTAAATTTTATCAGATTTTCATCCCCTATTTGATTTCTTTTAAATTTTTATTTGTTTTCGATTTCATCTTTTTAGTCACAATTCGGTTTTTCGAAGCCTTGAAAATCGGGTCGTGATAGATAAATCTATCCTATTTAATATTTTTCTATCGATAATTCCTTTTGGTATTCATTTTTAAAAGTCTATACTAGTACAATATAAAAATGGTATATTAGTTATATAGGAAAGTAAAATTAAAATTAGGTCAGAATATAGCAGAAATTGTAATTTATGTACTGTCCTATTTAAAAATATGCAAGTTTTTTTACCCATTAAATTTTGGAAGAAAAGTTAGAGTCTCACTAATTAACATGTATTATATCATTTGAAGATGTTCAAAGTCGCATGAATTTGGTAGAAACTTTCATATTTATGCCAATGTTTTTTCATATTTATGTCACGACTTGATTTTCGAAGCTTCGAAAGTCGGATCGTGACCCAAAAGATGAAATTGAAAACAAACAAAAAGAAAGGAAAAGGAAAGAAAAGTAAAGTAAGAGATAAAAATACCATTTAATTAAAACAAAAGAGAGAAAAGTTTTGTTTCAAATTATTAGAAAATAATTACAAATATAAAATGATTATTAGATTATATAACGTTAATCAATAATGTAGAAATTAAAATTATATCTTCGTGGGTAGGGTAGCTTTTGACTAAAAGGTAAAGAAATCTTATTATAAAAGTTTTAGATTAAAAAGATTCTAAAACTAAATTATTTTTTCACGCCAAGTCTCTCGTCATAAAGGTGGTTCATCTCATTAGATATAAAATAGAACATTAGAGACCTCAATGTAATACTTCTTTAGAGACCTCAATTAAACTTGCTACTATCACGAGGCCTCATAATCAATTTAAAGGAGGGCTTTCAGGAGATGTTGCTGGATTTGGGCCAGTTGGGACACGCCTCTTCGTGCCTAGACCCAATGGAGGCGTTTCGGGAGATGTTGCTGGATTTGGCCCAGTTGGGACACGCTTCTTCGTGCCTAGACCCAATGGAGGCGTTTCGGGAGATGTTGCTGGATTTGGGCCCGTTGGTACACGCCTCTTAGTGCCAAGACCCAATGGTGGCATTTCGGGAGATGTTGCTGGATTTGGTCCAGTTGGGACATGCCTTTTGGTGCCTAAACTTGAGGGACGGCTTTCAGGAGATGTTGCTGGATTCGGGCCAGTTGGGACACGCCTCTTTTTGCCTAGACCCAATGGAGGCGTTTCGGGAGATGTTGCTGGATTTGGTCCAGTTGGGACACGCCTGTTAGTGCCTAGACCCAATGGTGGCGCTTCGGGAGATGTTGCTGGATTTGGTCCGGTTGGGACACGCCTTTTGGTGCCTAAACTTGAGGGGGGGCTTTCAGGAGATGTTGCTGGATTTGGTCCGGTTGGTACTAGTCTTTTGAGACCCAAAGAAAGCACATTGCCACCCTCATCCCACTTTGCCTCGAGACCATTAAGATTGGACAAAATAGCAACTGGAGAAATCAACAAGAAGGTAGAAACCATATTGACATTTTTAAGCAAGCCCATTTTGTCTTCACACAAGTATTCTAACTATGAAATCACAACTTTATATAAACTCCAGCGAACAACTAATTTAGAAATGTAGTAATAGCGGTTGGTAAATATATTTCCATCCTTAAACAATTTACTGTCTATAATGATATTTTTTTGTTGGATGAGCTTTTTACTATCTATAATGATATTTTTTTTGGATGAGTTTTCAAAATTTATTGGTAACCAATAATTTTTGGAAACTAATTATGTCTCGTTAGAAATATATCTAATTATTCCATCTATTTTATTTTAGAAAAACTTCCATCTAATTTAGAATCTTGTTAAAAATATTTTCATATAATTTTAAATAGGCCAATGTTATTTTTTTTTTTTTTTAAGTCTCCATTTTTGCTTTAGTAATCCACAAATTTAGATACTCAATTATGTAGGAGCGGGTTAATTAACACCGGTCCCATATTTTTTTAAATTGATTTAAACGTGACTAATATTTAATAAGTTCGATGGAGAATGTGATGGTTAAAATTCTTGTATATCACATTGAATGCTTAGAAAATGCATGCTAAATAAATGTATATTAAAACAATTTTTAAATTATGCAATTTTATAAAATAAATTATTATTATTATTATTTTTATCAAATAGTTAGGGTTAAATTATCAAATATTAATCATATTTAAATAGATGAACATACAAGACTATTTATTTGATGCGGGGTGATAACAAAATTAAGAAAACCACTCATCTATCATCAAACCTCTCAAAATGATAAATGTGTCTATTTTTTTTTTATCCTCGTTTATCACTAGTAAATGTAATTGATATGTTTATAATCTTTTTATCTTATCAATGGACTAAAAGTGATAAATGTATCGTATTTAATTTTATTTCTATTGTTTTCATATTCATTTTTAAAAGTCCGTAATGATACAATATAAAAGTGGTCTATTAGTTGTAACAACCCTAAAGTTCTACATATTCAGAGTCTTTACTAATGTCTCAAACTCATTTCTCATGCGGAAATATAACTCTTAAAAGAAAATGTCATCTATAGTATAAATATTGAAAATATTAAAAACATTTTCTTCTCTAAAAATCACAGTCATGGTCTTACGTGTTTAAATACAAAATACTAAAATTTAGAGAAAATAAAAATAAATACAAAATAATTTAAAACAATGAAATGCAAAACAACTGTTCTAACCTAAAATATGCTTATGAACATACGACATGCATGTGGTCTCTCTAAATTCTATCATAATGTATTTCTTGACACAACCCTCTAGTCTCATCTTTTTGTTACATTAAATTAAGTAACACATGATCGTGGATATTTATATTAATATCCTTTTCATGCTCTTAAGGTTGTCCTAGGTCGACCTAATGACATGATGCAATATAACACATATCATCATATAGCATGCTAAATATAGAAAACATCATCATATTGAACAAAATATCATGCAAAAATCGTACTCATCATAAAGCCATCACGTGCATCACACATAATATGTACGTCATGCATCACGTATATATATATATATATATATATATCATGCATCATAACTCATACATCATCATATATTAGTATACAGCATCATACGACGCCGCTCATACAACATCATAACTCATACATCATCATATACTAGTATACGACATCATATGATACCGTTCATACATCATCATAACTCATATATTATCATAGCTCATAAATCATAAATTGTAACTCATACAATTTCTAGCCTATCCTATAGTAAGACCGCTTAACTTATTAGCTTAAGTTGTTGTCACTAATTTACAGTTCGATTCTGTCCTTTGAAATCTAAGTCAACTTATGTAAGCTCATAACATCAGTTTGTCCTTCGAAATCCAAGTCAACCTATGTGAGCTCATGACGTCAGTTTCAAATTCGAACTTCTGTAACATTATTCCTCATATTTACAATGGTCCATGTATTAGATTTTATGCGAACATTAGAGTTTTTGTAGGAGTAAAATGTTGGAATATTATATTATTTATATTATTCTATTTTTATTAAAAGTTTCATTTTCTATAGTTACTAATTATTGGAGTTGGTAAAAGAAATAAATAGATATAAATAGATATTTTTAACTTAGGGTACTTTCTTGTAATTCAATTTTCTTGCAATTCAATTTTGTTTTATCATTTAATTTTATTCACGGAAAGTTTTTATTTTCTATATTTTTATGTATGTATCATTTAATTCTATTTAATTCTATTCTCTAGACGTTGCATTTCTTTTTTCTCCTAATATTTATTTTTGTGTTTGTGTTTAGTTTTAGTTTTTAAATCACTGAATCTAATTTTGTTCCCACATTTTTTTTTTCTCCTATTTTTGTTAATCAATTCTTGTTTTTTTACCAATTTAATTCTATTCCCATATTTTTATTGGCCTATTATTAATCAATTCTGTTTTCAAAATCGATTTCTAATAATGTTTCTATGCATGTCTAGGATATGATAATTTCTAACTTAATCTAAGTAATTGCAACAGAATTTGGAAACATACATAATTGCAATAGGTACGATATAGAATTACAACAGAATTGGGGAAGATATTGGCGTGATTTCCTAAGAACATAATTAAAATAAAATAACAGAAAATTTCATACTTTTATTGGCCTATTTGTGTGAATGAATTCTAAATCTTTTGGTATATGTTTGACATTGTTGCAAGAAATTAGGGAAGATAGAATTAAAAAAAATCTCAACTATAATTTCTAGGAAAAATTTAAGCTATAATGGTTTGATTTCTTAAAAATAGAATTAAAATAAATATTTCCTAAAAACAAAATTAAAATAAATATTTTCTAAAAATAGAATTAAAATAAAATAAAATAAAATATTTAATTCTATTCCCATGTTTTTATTTGTCTATTTTATTAATCATTTTCTAAATCTTACCATATTTTTATTGGTCAAACCATTTTGTTTACCTTCTAGACCTAACAAATAAAACTAAGGGTGATTTTTTAAAATAAAACTAAAATAAAATTACCTAAACTATAATTATGTGATTTCCTACCAATAGAATTAAAATAAAATTTCTTAAAAACACATATTTAAAATAAAAGATTTTTGTTTTTGAAATTCTATTCCCATATTTTTATTCGACTATGTTTTATTAATCAATTCTGTTTTCTAAATCTTACTCTGCCCTATTTTTCGAAATCTTCTCCTCTTTCTTTATCTATGTATCTCTTTTCTTTTCTTCTATTTCTTACCTCTATATTTCATTTTTTTTATTTGATTAGCATTCTAGCCAAATTATTGTAATGGAGTTAGAGGAAGATCTAAACTATAATTGCTGTGATTTCTGAAAATAAAATTAAAATAAAAGAAAAGAAAAAATCTAATATATACCTTAAACAAAAAAAAAACTAATATAGCTTAACAATCTGACATTTCTTTAGATATGCTTCTATCATAAAATGTCTTTCTTCCCCCAGACATTTATGTTTGTTTTTTTGTTTCTTTTCTGCAGAACCTGATATACTAGCGTCACCATGAGTTGGTTGTGAGATAGTTTGGAAAAGGGATGAGACCTTAGTGGAGAGAAGTGTGAGGAGAGGTTTTTTTTTAACCTTTTTTTTCTCTTCCTTTATTTATTTGGGCTTTACATTAGTTATATATGTGCTCTCCTATTTAAAAATATGCAAACTTTTTACTCATTCATTTTTTTTATTTGGATAAAAGTTGATAAGATAAGGAATCAACTACAAGGGGATAAGATTCGAATTACCCTATTGATCGAATATCTCAAGGCAAGAACATTGTTTGAAATTCGAATCACTCCACAAGCAAGATCGATCATGTCTAGCTTGAATGATTCTTGTTGATCAAATATCTCAACGCAAGAACACTTGATTGAGATTCGAATCACTCCACAAGCAATATTGATCATGTCGAGCTTGAATGATTCTACATGCAGAACTTAGCCATTGGCCAAAGAAGAGCACAAATGCTTCTTTTACAAATACAACATACATGTATTTATATAGCCTCAAAATGAAACTACTTAAGACATTCCAAGAGTTCTAACATTCATACTTAATGGCCTTAAAATACAATAATAAAATACAATAACTCTAAATTGTAACCCACCAAAAATTTATAACCATCAAACTTTATTTCTCTTCAATTTATAACCATCAAACTTCATTCCTCTTCGATGTGGCATGAATTGAAACATCTTTTGATAATTTTGACAACATTTTCTTCCCATCTTCATTGAAGTATATTGTATGATTGATGTCTCTTGGTTCATATCAAAAGTTTTTTTTTTTTTAGAAAAGCTAAAGTCTCACCAATTAAGTTTCATATTTATGTCTATAGTTGTTAAATTATAAATGTTAATCAATGAGGTAGAAATTGAAATTATATGTTCATGGGCAATGAAGATTTTGAAAATAAGATAAAGAAATATTATTATCATAGTTTTAGAATAAAAAATTTTTAAGACTAAATTATTCTCTTTCACGCCCATTATTAGAGTCCCTCACCATAAAGTTGAATATCTCAGTAGATCGAAGATAGAAAATTAGAGACTTCATTGTAATACATTGTAGAGAACCTAATTAAGCTTGCTACTATTGGTAGGCATCATAATAAATTTAATGGATGGCTTTCAGGAGATGTTGTTGGATTTGGGCAATTTGGAATAAGCATCTTGGTGCCTAAACCCAATTAAGGGTTTTTGGGAGATTATGCTGGATTTGGCCCGGTTGGGACACGTCTCTTGGTTCCTAAACTTGAGGGAGGGCGCCTCTTGATGCCTAAACTTGAGGGAGGGCTTTCAGGAAATGTTGCTGGTTTTGGGCCATTTGGTACACACCTCTTAGGTGCCTAAACTTGAGGGAGAACTTTCAGGAGGTTTTGGGCCATTTGGTACACACCTCTTAGGTGCCTAAACTTGAGGGAGGACTTTCACGAGATGTTGTTGGTGTTGGGCCATTTGGTACACGCCTTTTGGTTCCTAAACTTGAGGAGGGCTTTTCAAGAGATGCCGCAGGTTTTGTCTCGTATTTCTCGAAAAAGCGATTCGATTGATGGGATTGAGATTGATATTCCAATCTTTCTTCTTCGAACGTATTGATTTGACCCCATAAGCGGGACCGCCACCCCATAGCATGTTGCCACCAGAAGCAGAACCCCATATTTCTTCTAGAGAATCTCCTAATTGTTCCAGAGCAACTAGAAAGAGTATTATATATTTTCTATATTCTAGAATATAGAAAATATATAATAAAATAAAAAATCAATAAAAACTTTTTCGTTTATTGGGGCGATGGGGATTCGTATTTTCCCCATCCCGAAAATGATAAAACAAAGATATGAAAAAGAAAGGTCAACTCGTGTATTTCTTTTGATTCTTTGAACAAGAAAAAAATACGGATCCATCCCCCGAAAGAACCGGACATGATAATTTTTCATCATCCGGCTCGAGCACAAATCAAACGAACCAACTGGATGCAGATAAAAAATCGCTATCTTATCCAAGCATATATAAAATAAATGATTGATTCAATGGAAAAAAAAATTTAGCAGATTCTGTTTTCCAGAGTTACAATTATCCATTGCACCGAATTCAGTTCTTACAGATAAATGCTCAATACCCAAGTAGGCTTACAAAGTTGATAATGTTCAAGTGCTTTCTGGGTCAATCCGAGTGATTGGATTTAGATCCTATTCCTGGTATGAAATGAGATATTCAAATGATTTATTTTTTATCGAATGACTATTCATCTATTGTATTTTGATGAAAATAGGGGCAAGAAAGCTCTATGGAAAAAAGATGGTTAAATTCGAGGTTGTCTAACGGGGAGTTAGAATACAGGTCTAGGCTAAGTAAATCAATCAATAGTCTTGGTCCTATTGAAAGTGAAGGATCAATTATCAATAATATGAATAAAAACATTCCTAGTCATAGTGACAATTCTAGTTACAGTACTGTTGATGATTTAGTCGGCATTCGGAATTTCGTATCTGATGACACTTTTTTAGTTAGGGATAGTAATAGCAGCAGTTATTCCATATATTTGGATAGTGAAATGGTCATTTGGTACACGCCTCTACTAAGAGATGTAGTGCCTTTGGGTCATTTGGTACACCCTCTACTAAGAGATGTAGTGCCTAGAGGCAATGTAGGTGTTACAGGAGATGTTGTTGAATTTGGTCCGTTTGGGACACTTCTCTTGGTGCCTAAATTTGGGGGAGGGCTTTCAAGAGATGTTGTCCTCTCGGAACACTTCTCTTGGTGCCTAAATTTGTGGGGAGGGCTTTTTGGAGACGTTGCTGGATTAGGTCCAGTTGGGACACGCCTCTTAGCTCCTAGACCCAATGGAGGTGTTTCGGGAGTTGTTGCTGGATTAGATCCAATTGGGACACGCCTCTTGGTGCCTAAACTTGAGGGAAGGATTTTAGGAGATGTTGCTGTATTTGGGCCAGTTGGCACAGGTCTCTTAGTGCCCTGTGCCTAGACCCAATTGAGGTGTTTCAAGAGGTGTTGCTGGATATGGGCCAATTGGCACACGTCTCTTAGTGCCTAGACCCAATGGAGGCGTGTAAAGAGATGTTGTTGGATTTAGTCTAGTTGGGACATGCCTTAAATCCTAAGAAAGCACATTGCCACTCCACTTGCCTCGAGACCATTGAGATGAGACAAAATAGCAACAAAAGAGATCAACAAGAGGACATAAATCATATTGAATTTTTAAGCAAACCCATTTTATCCTCACACAAATAATCTATCTCTTAATATTCTACCTCTAAATCTCACCTCTATATAAACTCGGGTGAACAATTAATTTAGAAATTTAGTAATAAATTATATTTTTTGATTGAATTTTTCCAATTTATTGGTAACAAATGATTTTGGAAAAAAAAAAAAAATCTAACGTCTATTTTATTTTAGAAAAATTTCATTTAATTTTAATTTTAATTCTAGAATGAAAATATTTCCATTTAATTTGAAAATCTAGTTATAATGATACTTCATCCAATTCTCTATCCTTACCCCTCAATTCCCCAAATATCTTTCCCTAACTTGTAAAAGTTAAATGTATTTATGAAATTTTTATGAAAATTTAAAGGTATTTATTTTAAAATAAAATATTAACAATTTCTATCCCTAACTAATTATAAGAATTTTTTTTTTAATTTAACCATTTTTAAATTTAATGGTATTATTGAAACTTTAGAGTTTTTTTTTTTTTTAATTTAAATTTCTTTGTTTTTTTTTTAACTATATTTTTAAAAACAAATTTAGTATTTACTATTTGAAAATGTGCATTATTCCTATAAATTTTTTGAGATTAGGGGTCTTCATACCATCTTCATAATCACCAAACATAAAAAAAAACAAAAAAAAAACAAAAAAGAATCTTTTAGGGTTATCTCTGCTATTCATTTTTCCACTTTTCTTTCATCCATTTCATGCCATTGCTGACTCATCACCGGACCTCAAGCATTCCCATAGATCTCTATCTGCCTTCCTTTTCACTTCTCTACCCCCTCCAGCAGCGTTCCTCTCCACCTCTCCGCCACCTCCTGCGCGAAGCTTCTTTAAATCTCCACCTCCGGCGGCATTTCTCTTCCCCTCTCTGCCACCTCCTACACAAAGCTTCTTTAAATCTCCACCTCCGCCGTCGTTTCTCTTCCCCTCTCTGCCACCCCCGACAACGTTTCTCTTCCCCTCTCCGCCACCTCCACTGCAGCCAATGGAGTGATGTGAAGACGGTACAGAAGATTAACCACGCCAGAGAAGATAAGTTGATTGGCGAGAGAGAGGTTCTCAATAAGAGATGAACACTTTTAATTCAAGCCCTTTAATGTAACAGGGAAATCTTATGATCAGTACTCTTGTTTTAAAAATAAGTTTATCATTATTATTATTTTAAAATTACAACCATTTTGAAGTTTTTATTATTATTATTATTATTATTATTTTGTACAATTTGGATTTAATTAAATTTTAAAAAATAAAAGGAGAATTTTAAGTTCAAAATTCACTTTTACTTTATTTTATTACAATACCTCCTCAGACAACATAATGATCACCACAACAAAAAATAAAGAAAGAGAGAGAAAAGTTTATTAGATCTTCCATCTCTTTTATTCTATTTCAATTATTTAGATTTAGAAAATCATGATCAACAACATTAAAATGGTAAAAAAAAAAAAGAATCTATTAAAATTGGGTAAAGATAATCCGTAAGATCATTAAAAGCAGAGAAAAAGTGAAAAAAAAAAAATAGATTAAAATTATTCAAAGATAATTGCAAAAGAATTAAAAGTGAGATAAAAAAAAAAAGATTGCTCAATTAAAATTAGATAAAGATAATTATTAATAGAATTAAAAGAAAAATTAGTAGAGTAAAATTAACAAATTTTTATATATACTGCCAAACACAACCTACTTCTCCGAATAAGAATTATAGAGGATAAACCATGGAAAAAGAATTGAATTTTGAAATATGGGACGACTAGGAAGCAGATAATACTCCAACATTAAATAAATTCATCAAATTCTTTTATATGACCGTAGCTTATATCTAAAAATAAATTCATCAAATTCTTTTATATAACAGTAGCTTGTATCTTCTAGAAAAATGGTTAACTCTTTTACATGAAAGTTCGAACTTGAAACTGACGTCATGAGCACACATAGATTAACTTGGATTTCAAAAGACAGAATCAAACGTTCATTAACGATAAATTCATGACAACAACTTAAGCTAATCAGGTAAGTGGTCTTTCGATCGGCTAGATCGGAAGACTTGTGGAGAGAAGTGTGGGGAGAGGTGACATGGTTGGGAGAGAGTTTGGAAAATGGATGAGACATTAGTGGAGAGATCAACAAAAAGGACATAAACCATATTGACATTTTTATGCAAACCTATTTGAAGTAACACAGATATTACCTCTAAATCTCACATCTCTAATTTAGAAATACAGTAATAAATGATTTTTTTTTTTTTTTTGAATTTTCCTAATTTATTGGTAAAAAATGATTTATAGAAACTAATTATGCTCTATAAAAGAAAAAATATAACAATTTCAATCTCTTTTATTTTAGAACTTCATCTCATTTTAATTTTAATTCTAAAATGAAAATATTTCTATTTAACTTAAAATTAGTTAAGGTGAAACTTCATCAAACTCTCCATCTTTACCATTCTTTACCATTCCTTCCCCAAATATCTCTCCCCATTACTAAATTATATTGAAATTTGTAAAAGTTAAATGTATGTATGAAACTTTTATAAAAATTTAAAGGTACTTTTTTTAAAAAAAAATATTAACTATTTCTATCCCTAATTAATTATAAGACTATTTTTTAATTTTTTTAAAAAATTTAACTATGGGAAGTTTAATTGTATTATTGAAACTTAGAGTATTTTTTAATTTAAATTTTTTTGTTTTTTTATTACTATCCTTTTAAAAGACAAATTTAGTATTCACTCTTTGAAAATGTGCATTATTCCTATAAATTTTTTGAGATTGGCCGTGGATTTTCATAATTACTAAACATATAAAAAAAAAAAACAAAAAAACAAAAAATGAATCTTTTAGGTTCTCTACTATTCATTTTTTCACTTTTCTCTCATCCATTTCTTGCCATTGTTGACTCATCGCCGGACCTGAAGCATTCTCGTAGATCTCTATCTGTCTTCCTCTTCACTTCTCCGCCCCCTCCAGTGGCGTTCCTCTTCACCTCTCCACCACCACCTACGCGAAGCTTCTTTAAATCTCCACCCCCGGCAGCATTTCTCTTCCCCTCTCCGCCACCTCCTACGCAAAGCTTCTTTAAATCTCTACTTCCGGCGTCGTTTCTCTTCCCCTCTCCGCCACCTTCGGCAGCATTTCTCTTCCCCTCTTGGCCACCACCTGCGCGAAGCTTCTTTAAATCTCCACCCCCGGCAGCATTTCTCTTCCCCTCTCCGCCACCTCCTACGCAAAGCTTCTTTAAATCTCCACCTCCGGCGTTGTTTCTCTTCCCCTCTCCACCACCCCCGGCGGCATTTCTCTTCCCCTCTTGGCCACCACCTGCGCGAAGCTTCTTTAAATCTCCACTCGCGGCAGCGTTTCTCTTCCCCTCTCCGCCACCTCCACTGCAGCCAATGGAGTGATGTGAAGACTGTACAGAAGATCAACCACGTCAGAGAAGAAAAGTTGATTGGGGAGAGAGATGTTCTCAAAAAGAGATGAACACTTTTAATTCATGCCCTTTAATAATGTAACAAGAAAATTTTATGAACACTACTTTTGTTTTAAAAATAGGTTTATCATTATATAAATACAACTTTATTTCACGTTTAAAAAAATATTCATAAATTTTCAAAAATAGTATTAATATTTCTAATTTATTGAAGATACAAGAGAACTTCTATATTAATATTTGAATGAAAAAATATTAGAGATTTAAAATTTAAACAAATTTTTTTTTTTTTTTTACAATTTCGATCGAATTAAAAGTTAAAAAATAAAAACGAGAATTTTGAATTCAAAATTCACTTTTATTTTATTTTATTACAACACCTTCTCCAACAACATAATGATCACCACAAGAAAAAAAAGAAAGAGAGAGAGAAAAGTTTATTAGATCTTCCAATCTCTTCTATTCTATTTCAATTATTTAAATTTTTACCATCATT